ATGAACCTTTGCTGGCATTGAATTTTTAAAATCTTTTAACGACTATTACTTCATAATGAGTGCAAGTTTGAGTTGAGGTGTGACATCTGAATTTAGTTATGAAATCTGTCTATCTTAGCAACAAATCTTGTATATTGTCTTGCATTTGGAAATTTCTGCCAATGCTGTGTTAGTTTTTTTCTTTATTAGCCCTGTTTAAGAATTTAAGATCAGGTGAGACCATAAAGTCAAGAAACAAACAGCATAATTATATAACAATACAAAAATGTAATGGCACTAATTTTCATAAAACATTTCAAGTGAGTATTTTCAAAGTAGGCCCTCTGGGTGGTGTTGTATGTTTCTTAGACTTTGTTGGGAATTCTTTTGAAGCTGTCCTCTATGCCAGTTTACTAGGTGATCAGGAAAACCCATCTCAGTCCATAATTACAGGAGACCCTTTAGTTTGCTGCCCACATTTCCTTCTATCTCCCTCTCTTGAACCTAGCAGCATCCTGTGGAGTGCTTTCTATCCTACCTTACCTCATTTCTTTATGCCTTTCATAGGACTTTCTTTGTTGAGAGGTTCAGGTAAATAGGCTAAGAACTTGGAACTGGAGAAAGAAAGAAGGCAAGAGTGGATATAATAGGCTAATTTCACCTAGTCGGCCCTTTTGTTTCTGTGTATGAGCTGGATGCAGCAGCTTTTACTCCCTCCTCCACCCACCCTCACCCCACCCACCAAAAAAGTTAGAAACTGTAGAAAGACAATTTTGAACACAGACTGACACTGGAGTGTCATCAGGAAGCATCCAACAGTTTAAACTTAGGTATATTTTTGAAATCCCAGTGTAAAGCTTGTAGCTTGAATAACCCTCACCTAGTAGTAAAATTTAGTTTACTTCCTAAGACTCTAAATTCTCTATTTATTGTATTTAATGTCAAGAACAAAGTAAGAGAAGTAGAAGGAAGAGAAAAAGGGAAAGTAAGTCAGGGCAATTAAAGAGACAATCAAGAGAGAATATTGAAGACAACCTCTTCCCACTGCTCAGAGGGCATTTATGTGATGGCAGCAGAGCAGGCATCCTCACTCATCCTGCAGAGGACTGGGATGTCGGGTTTCATATTTGTCACAGATCTGACAATTGCCCTTCTAGATTCTTCCATCTGGAGGACCCATAAGAGAAATCTCTGCATGTCTCGTGAAGATATATTTCTGTTCACATTATAGAAGGTTCCTCTTATATTATACTTAGGGAATCTAAACTTACACATCTTTTGTGTACATATATATTAAGAGTTTTAAGAATTTCCTTTGAGAGTCTGGTCTGTGGAAACGATTAGAAGTAGTAACAGCAGCAGTAGTAATGTTATTGATAATCATAATGATGAAATGTAAACTCTGTAAGAGCAGGGACCTTATCTTTTTACCCCTCTATCCTTAACACTGGATTGGTGCCTAGCACATACTAAGTGTTCAATTATAGTTGTTGAATAGACGGATGGACAAATGAGTAATAAATAGTAGCCAGCATTTATAAACTGTTAGTTTTGTAGACTCTACTCTAAGTTATTTCATTATTTCCCAATAATACAATAAAGTGTATTCTGCAGTATTTCATCAAATCTAAGTTGTCAGTGATTATAAGTCACTTTTATCTGTAACTGAAAAAACATAAAACTGAACTACAATACAATGCTTTATCACTTAAAATTTTTTATGTCTATTGTAAGAACTATTTGGACTTAGATACAGATTTTTTGTCATATCATTAATATGTGATAAAAGAAAAATAAATTTGTTCAAATAATCCTGAAATAGTTTCACATTCAGAATCTTACTCTTGTGCATCACTTTCCAATTCTGTTATTGATTTTTGAGTTTTTCCACACAATATCAGCTTCTGTGCCATTAAAGGTGTTGGTAATGCTCTTGATCAAAGAGTGTTTACTCTTCTAGGATTTTCTTCCAAATTGCTAATACCCAAGCAAGTATTGATGCAGGCATTTTACTTTTGTCTAACCTTAGTTTATTTTTTCTAAATTGAAATTTCTCTGCTAGTTAAGCAACTTTTATTCAGTTAGCAAATATAACCAAAATGTTAATAGTGGTTTCCCCCTGTGGTTGTTGGATTACAAATGGTTCTTATTTTCTTATTTGTAATTCTGTGTTTTCCAAAATTTCTACATACACATAAAATTAAAACTTACCCTTGCTTCAACTATGGATCATGATCTCATTTTATCTCATCTTCTGCAGCCTTCTCATTTGGGGAGTTTGGGAGTAGAATTCATCACTCTCCCTGGTGGATATACTACCTTAGATGAAGAAGTCCCATCAGTCTGCCCCTGGTGGGTCCGGGTTCTCTGCTGACCTCCAGTGGCTATAGGCTGTATGGCAAGAGTTATTCATAAATGATTTGCTTGTTAGAGCAGAACATTCAGACTCCTAGCAGAACATTCAGACTCCTAGCATTTTTAGGAAAGTACTTTGTAATTGTCCTTGAATTAGGCAAGCACATGCTCTCAGACACCACAGTTACTCTCTCACCTATCTGCTAACTTGAACTTTCCACATTGTAAATTGAGCTTTTATAAGAGGTATGTATAAATGAGGCATTAAGAGCAAGAAAATAACTGTAGATAACAATATTGTATTAAAAACTTCAAGCTTGCTAAGAGACTAGATCTTAATTATTCCCACTGCAAAAAAAGAAATAATAATTAATGGAAGTGATATAAGTGCTAGGTAATGCTACAATGACAATCATATTGCAATACTGCCATATATAAATGTATCAAACCAACATATCGTACATCTTAAACGTATACAGTGTTATATGTCAAATATATTTCAATTAAAAAGTTTAAAAGAAAGGAATAAAGAAATATACAGTAAAGAGTTCATGTACATAACACAACTTGGATGTGCAGCCTTAACCTAAGTCCCGAGTAACTGCTACTCTTTCTTTGTAATTGTTCTGTTTAGGATTTTATTTTGTTGTTGTGTTTTTGTTTTGATTTTTTTTCCTCATTGTGAGGAGGGCATAGTTTAGGAATGGAAAAAGGTACATAGGCAGCAGTGGTCTTTATCCTGGAACCATAAGAACAGTGAGACCTTCCTGTTGAAATCATTTACCTCTTTGTACTGTCTGCTATGAATCACAGCAGAGAGGGACACTACTGTAAAGACAAGAGCATGAGGCAGTTTCTCTATTTGGAGTTCTGCTGGACATTAGTGAGGCAGGCAGGCAGGCAGAACCCATCAAAGCGTATAAGTGACCAGTAAAGCAAAGGTACATGCTAATTTTCCAATCAGTTAGCTATTAACCTTCTGAAATTTATAATTCCTTTGACATCCATTTTAACATTTGATCCATCCAGTTAATAAAAAAAATTATTATACCCCTTAAGTCATTCTTTGTTATATTGTAAAAATGTCACATTATAATTATCTTAAAATCATTTTTGACCAAAGCTTGTAAAAAGTCACCTTTATGAGATTATTGATCAATGTAATTTTAAGGTTTTTGCTTCTTAATAATTAAAAGCCACCTCATTATGCAGCACACCTGCTGTCATGATGTTGTTTGAGAATTAAGCATGTATTTCCCAGTAGTCTTCAAGTATTATTTAATATTTTTCTATCCATAACTACAATTTTAAGGCATCTTTAGGTCGTAATGTTTAAATTTGTAGACAGACTTGTTATTTCTGCCAGGACTATTGCAGTAGCTTCCCTACTAGACTCCCTCTAGTATAGTTGTTTCTACCATCAGATCTCCTAACATAAAACAAAATTGCAGTTATGTTTCTTTTGTTTTTATTTTATAACTACTAGAATAATGGAGGCAGGGTTAGAGAATTTTCGTAAGTGTGTGTGTGTGTGCGCGCGTGTGTGCATGTGTGCATGCGCCGCCATTTTAGAATTCTCTGTTTGCTCAGTTAAAAACAATTGCAGCCGTCTTAGGCGGGCGTGTGTGCATGTGTGCGTGCGCGCGTGTGTGCATGTGTGCATGCACCACCATTTTAGAATTCTCTCGGTTTGCTCAGTTAAAAACAATTGCAGCCGTCTTAGGCCACTTCAATGCTCTCTCAGGTCAGCTTCATTCTAAAAATTCAGTGTCATTCTTATACATGACATTTGAGCTTTTCCAGTGTCTAGAAAACATTGATTTCTCCCATTTGCTGTTATTTCTACTAAAAATAACAGCACAAAAATTTAAAGGTTCATTTATTCCAATTGAGTCTATATCTTAGTAATTGTGATTCTTGAAAATTGAGATCATGATTTAGATTCTTACTTTGAGACTATAAACATGATTTTTAATGATTGAATCAAATCTTTGCTGCCTATGAATATATTCATTTGTCATAATAAAAGCATTTTATTTATTTTTTAGTGTAAACTGCCAAGTTCGGGGTTTTATTGTATTAGTTTACACAAAATTTGCATTTGGGATTATAATTCTTCTAGCAAATAATCTAATATTTTTAGCTTTTGAGAGTGGTTTTAATTAAAATTTAATTTTCTTTTATTAAATGCTGTCAGAGAATCTGATAGTATAAAGTGACTTGAATGACTTTTCAAAATTGAAATTTTGCTCATTTTAATATTCTTTTCTAGAATATATCTATAATAATGTTTACCTACATTTATTAAGAGTTTACTGTGTCATGCATTTGTATTATCTCATTTAGTCCTTAAAACAACCCTACGTGATAGAAATTATTATCCTTAACAGATGAGAAACTAAGGCATAGGTAGTTGATGCAACTTAAGAGTTTACACAGCCAGTAAAGAGCAAATTTGGGATTTAAACCAGGCAATGTATGTCCTGAGCCTGGCCTCTTAACCAATATGAACTCATCCTAATTATTATTATTTTTTTGTCTAACACTGAAAAATTATTGAACCAAAATGTTCTCACTGAATATTTGTAAGATTTTGTACTGTTGGGCTAATGGGTTCACCCATACCAAGTATAAGGGTGAAGTTAATTTTTTCTTCATTCTTTTAGCTGATATAGCCCAGAGATATAGGATAAGCAAATACCCAACCCTCAAATTGTTTCGTAATGGGATGATGATGAAGAGAGAATACAGGGGTCAGCGATCAGTGAAAGCACTTGCAGATTACATCAGGCAACAAAAAAGTGACCCTGTTCAAGAACTTCATGATTTAGCAGAAATCACCACTCTTGATGTAAGTTATTAACTTTTGCTGGATCAAATGAACATTGCCTGTTTAATTAATGTAAACAAATTCTTACGTAATCCAAGAATCTGGACATTTTCTTATAGTTTATGGTAATGGGTCTGACACAAACAGACTTAGCAAGTTGAATTTTTCTTGAATTATTTCTCAAGGGAAATGCTAATGTATTACTGACCCTTTGGATAAAATATATAGCATACAGTAAAGTTGCACTAATTTGAATTAATTGAGGACAAAAGGTAGTCTAAATTATGAAGAAATAGATGTTAACATCAGGCATACACAATCAAAGTTTCTATATTTGCCTTAGTGGAGAACCTCTAGGTATCTGCTCTAATTACTCCTGTATCATCTCTTCAATATATGTTTTAATGTCCTCTGAAATAGCTCCCCTAATTATCTTAGCAAACCCTTGTCTTTGTATGCTAAGCAGTATTTTAAAAAAATTGAGTTTGGGCTTTAGATTGTCATTGTCAGGTTTGAGATTTTATTTTTACCCTACTTACAAGCTAGTAAGTTATCTAGTTAGTTTCATGGAAGTTATCAGAAGACACAAGTCTCCGGGGTTAGAGACAAAGGACTTTTGCTCACATCACAGCCAACTGTGTGAGCATGTTTGTATTTGTTTCTTTGCTCCCCAAGACTTATGGATGTTACACATAGGTCTCAGATGGATGTCTGCATATGCAGTGATTGTGTTACAGGAGGGGAACTCTGGACTCTGAGAACTTCTATGTCTGAGCTAGCAGTAAGCCTTATCTCTGGTGGGGGAGATTATCTCATACCTCAGTGTTGCTAGCTGCAAGTACAACCCTGAGAAATGGCCTGGATAAGAAGTGGTCAGGGTCTTACATTTTAGGTATACCTAGATATCTAGGGAGTATGAGGCCATAGAGAGTTCTACCTACAGTCACATGTTATGAATTGATGTACTATTTTAACTTATTTTAGAATTAGTCACCTTATTTAGGAAAAGACTTTCATTGATGAAAGTTATCTGTTTCTTGAAATCTTAAAATAAAATGCTTGAAGGAAATGTTCATAAGTTATTAGAGTGTAGTTAAGATTACTTTCAATCCAATGTAATCTTTAATAGTTTTTGACTCAATGTTAAAAGCAAAAAATAGGTATTTATAGACATACTTCATTGGGAGATAATTGAACAATAGGTGGATAAATGAAATAACATGTTTACAAAACTATATATGTTTGTAAAATAATTAAATACTTTATTTTACAGCGCAGCAAAAGAAATATCATTGGCTATTTTGCACAAAAGGATTCAGAAGAGTATAGAGTTTTTGAAAGAGTAGCCAGTATTTTGCATGATGATTGTGCCTTTCTTGCTGCATTTGGGTAAGTGTCTTAATTAAGAGAGTGGGAATGGGAGTGGGTTCGTTTGGCTGCTATATTAAAGTAAAAAGTAGAGAATTTATTGTTGAGTCTTATGTAAAAGCAAATAATATTTTTTGTGATGTTGGCCTTTGTACCTACATCAGTGACTTTGATCCCCAGTTTACTGGAGACAGTCTGGGGTCAAAAATAGCTTTTTAGTGCTAAAACTGCCAATCTAACTTTATAAAATACTGAGTCACAAAAATAGCTAACTAAAATTTTTCTTTAAAAAAACCTGCATTGTATTAAATTTTTAAATACATTTTTATTTAATAAATTTTTTTAAATGTGCTTTTGCTGGTATGGCATAGTCTTATAAGTAGGAAAGTTGATTGTCAAGTATATAGTTCAAATATATATTTCATACATTACAAAACAACTAGCCAATTCTGCTTCATTCAGGTACATTACTACTATTATTTTTCTTAAAAAAATATTATTACTACTTCTGTCTTCCTATTAGGACTGTTTCAAAACCAGAAAGATACAGTGGAGACAACATAATCTACAAACCACCAGGGGTAAGTTGCTCTTTCTTAAATTATAAAATATAATTTAAATATATGAAATGACTGATGGTCTTTAATTGCAATTTTTCGCACACAGAAAAATAGAAATCTATAGACATTTTTCCAGTTGATGATATTCATTTTAGTGTTGTTTGCAGTGTTTTGGCACACTGAGGTTTTTAATTTTTATATAATATCAACGAGTTTTTGCTTAGAAAGCTCATTCCCTATTCCAAATTCAGATAGGTATTTGCCTATATTTTCTGCAAGGGCAGTTCATTAGTAAGAGCTTACATAGTGTGACCTTCTCTAGATAATCAGAATCCAGTACGGTGTCTCACAATGTAGTTATAGTTTGGTTAAGAGCACGGGCCCTGGAATAAGACTGAGTTTTAATGTCACACCTGGCACTTTCCTAGGTGTATAACTCGGGGAAAGTTTCTTAGCCTCTCTGTGCTTCAGTTTGTTCATTAGTAAAAATAACTATGATACTAATAGTACTTGTTTTATGGGGAGGTGTCAAGGAGTGAGTCAACACATGTAAAGTGCTTACAACAGTGCATAGACACAGTAAGTTTACTCAGTTAATATTGGCTGGTACTTTTATCATTTTAGGCACTTCATAAATATTGATTTGAGTCTATGCGGAAACAGATTCTATAAGGAATTAATGTTAGAGGTAGCCACACCTTAAATTTGTATAGTGTCTTGTATTTTTCAAGTATTTTTCACTGGAAGTTTCCAAATTTTCTTCTAACATCTTCAACTCTAAGGGATATCTAAATTAATTCATTTGGATAATTCTTTTTCACAATGCCTCCCTGCTTTTGGGCTTATAGATGGTTTTAGGAATGCCATTTCAATAAGACAGGTTAGATTTGTTTAATTTTTTTTTTTTTTTTTCTGTTTTTGTAATAGCATTCTGCTCCAGATATAGTCTACTTGGGATCTATGACAAATTTTGATGGGACTTACAATTGGATTCAAGATAAATGCGTTCCTCTTGTTCGAGAAATAACATTTGAAAATGGAGAGGTATGGGCTTTTCAATGTGTGTTATTTTTAATTCAGATTTCTGAAAGAGCAAACTTCCTCTACACATCTTACTATTTTATCACAGACTTATCAGTTGTAAAAATAATACAGTGAACATAACTACATCATAGTTATTTCTGTAATACAGACCAGTGGTTCTTATCTTTGTTGTCCCAAGACCACTCTGTTGCATTTCCTGCAATAGCAGTGGTTCATTACAGTCTGAAAAATGAATTTGAGAATGCCTATCAGGTAATCCTGATAGCGACCTGTGGTTGAAGATCCTTGTTTAAGGGAATGTCCTTTAGAAACAATGCTCTGGAGATTTTAGTTACAATTAATTACATACAATGAATAATCCTTTGCCGTAAAAAGGTTTTTCTGATTCCTATCTAGCCTAAAAGAATGAAGTTATGAAAACATTTATCAGTTTTCATGTACCTGACCATAGTGATCCCATGTGCCTGTAATAAAGAACATCCAAACTCTTAGAACTCCTACAAAAACAAAACACAAAAACCTAAGAAGTTGGAGGAGCAAGTACAAAGGGCTATGTCTTTGAGGTACCTCTCTCTGTCCTTTATTATGTTTGAAACTTATCTTTCATTTCATTTTACTCCACTTTTAAAACCCACAGTCAAAGAATGCACTTTTTAAGAAACATTTTAAGTGTAATTTTCAAAAATCTTTTTATATGCATATATTCTTCAAAGAATTATAATAAGTGCATAGCTCAGATTTTAAATATACAGCTCAAGAAATTATTACATAGTAAACACACCCATATAATCACCAACTAGTCAGAGGTTGGCAATTATATAAAGGAATCAGATAATAAATATTTTAGGCTTTGCAGTTCATATAGTCTGTCAAAACTACTCAGCTTTGCAGTTGTGGCACAAAAGCATTCATAGACAACACGTAAATAAGTGAGGTGGTATTCCAGTAAAGCTTGCTTGTGTGTGTTTTTCTTAGTTTATCAAATGAACATCCTTGCTACTTTTCTCAGTTCTCTAGGCTTCAGGTATGCTTAGCTGAATTACCTACATTTTTATTGTATTAGCTCACTTAGTCCTCAGAGATTTAGAAAAATTTAGTAACTTGTCATAATTATATACCTGCTTTGTCAGTTCTTACAGGAATAGTTTCAAAAATAGAGTTTAAAGTTATAGACTAGAAAATTTTAATAAAACAGTAGTTCCAACTCCCCATACATAAATCATTTAAATTATGAGGAAACCTATAAATCTGGTTGTTTAGATATCGCTCTCCATAATCTTTTAATACCTCTTGGTAGAGAGTATGTTGGTGTGGACAGAGGTAAACTTGGAAGCCCAAGCAGCAGAAAGTACCAGCTACTTTGTTAATGTATGTAAGTTAGTTTAGCGAATAGACATTTTCAAACTACTAATCTGCTTATTATTTTTCTCCTGACAGTTGTTAGTTCATCCATACTTTTGTTTAATAAACTAATGTTTGTTTTTACTTTTAACTTGGTAGCTCTTAAATTTTCTGAGATGACCGCTGAGTCTTCTTTCCCAATGGGTACTTACTTATTCAGCAACATCTGTATCATTTATTCTGTCATAGGTTGATTACACATTATTGTGTACAGAAATCTTTGAGCAAAAGGGAATAAGATTCTCTGGGTTACCAGTCCAGTAGTTCACATGTACAGATAATGTAATATAAAGACATGCCCCATGCCACATGAAGGGTACTGAGAAAATGTTCTGCGAATTCAGAGGAGAGAATTCACATTTTCACCTTTGGCAGAAATGGGGTAGAATCAGGGATGGTTTTCTAGAAGAGGCATTCCAGCACTAAAACAAAAGGGCCAAAATAGAAGTATACTGAAGTACTAATAGAAATAAGGAAGTAAGAGGAGGAAACTGCATTAATATTGAGTATTGAAGGTATTGATTAGACTTTGAAATGGAAATATTAAGGAAACAATTGGAAATCTAGACTTGGATTCTGAACTGGAACTGGGCAGAGAAGTACAGATAAGAGGCCAATTAGAAGTGGTGATTCAGATTGTTGAACAAGTTGAAGTTGCCAGGTTAGAACACAGAAGTCCAAAGACAGAACCATGGGGAGTAGTAGCAGTGCATGAGGAAAAGAAAAAATGTTAGCCCAGGCGATAAAAAGTGAGGAAGAAGAAACTATATCAGCTCACAAAAGATCAATGTGATGCCAGAGGTTGTGGGGAGGGAGACAAGGAGTAACTACTAATGAGTATGGAGTTACTTTTCGGAGTGATGAAGATGATCTGGAACTAGGTAGTATTGATGTTTGCAAACCTTGTAGATATAATAAAACCCACCAAATCGTACACCTTAAAATGGTGAATTTCATGGTATGTGAATTATATCTCAATTTTAAAAAAGGTAAATGTGACAAGAAGCTTAATAATTTATTCTGTATGTGAGTGTAGCAGGCTTAAGCATGGAAATAAGAACCAGAAGAAAACTTTTCCCTTACAAGATAGGTTTCAGTTTCAGTGATTTTTAAGGATAAAGGACTTTGAGCTTTCTGCCGAGGCAGTTCTTAAATTACAAAGAGACATGCAAAAGGATAGTTGATGGAAATAACTTTATTATTAGGCCCTTTTTGGACTTTTTCTTATGAATTAGAACTTAGTATTTGTCAGAGAGAATAAATGATTAAAATCCATCTACTCATCACATTTCTCTTGTATATTCTCCAGTAACAATAATAAAAAATTTTAAAGTACTTTATAATTTTCAAGGTGTTTTTGTGTGTGTGTGTGCATGTGTATGTATATACAAGGTATATACATACAAACATACACAGAGTGGCAGGTCTTTGTTCATAGTGTTGAATACTGTGAATTGGTTGAAAACTGGTTATAGTATGGGGTTTTTGTTATTTGCTCTGAATCAAACGCTTTTCTGCTTTGGATAGGTCTCATGTTAAGTTTTTGCAGTAAACTTTAATATAAACGTAAGTTTGCAAATTAGATTTATTTGCTGCTGGTACACTCAGTTTTTCAGTGTTATCTGTGAAGACAGTTTACTCTACCCTAAAATCTATGCGGGGAAGACATGTTTACCCCCACCCTAAAATCAACATCTTGATAAAGAACCAGCAGTTTCTCCTTTAGTCAACTCATTTTTCAAGTGTCATGACTTTATTCAGTACTAGCTAACACACCAGCCAAAGTGGTTACTTTAAGAAAGATCAGTTCCTGCAATAGTGCAAGACTTGTGGGTCTTCTGAGTGCTTGGGTATTTCAGGTGGAAGGAATGAGTTCCCCTTCTTCCTTTAAGGATAATGTTTATTTACACCTCTTCCCTGGGATGTTGCAACTGTTGCATGTTATATGGTTTGAGTTCTGAATTGTTCCTACCAGAAAATAGCTAGAACTGAATGGAGAGGCCTAATAATTCTCACGGAATACTTCTCTGTACAGGAATTGACAGAAGAAGGACTGCCTTTTCTAATACTGTTTCATATGAAAGAAGATACAGAAAGTTTAGAAATATTCCAGAATGAAGTAGCCCGACAATTAATAAGTGAAAAAGGTAGACGGATTAAGGTGTTTATTTACATCCTTTCTCTTTGTATCTTTCTTTTTTCCCCTCCCCTTTCCCCATTACAGCCCTTGAATTTACATGTAAACATAGGGGTGGGAGGCATTAGTAGAGAGATAATATGAAATAGTGGCTATTTTTTTTAAACCATGGCTGTTTTAGCTCCCTAAAATCAAATAATCCCTAAAATCAAACAGCATGAAAAGTGAGGCCATGGGTGGGCACTGTTAGTTTTGACACTTTCTTCCAGTATCTTAATACTTGTCTGGTCCCTTTCTAATAGATAGTCTCAAACATATTGCTGGGAGAACTTACACAGTGATTAACATTTATTTCTAAATGAAAGAAACTGTGGACTTTCCAAAGCATCAGAAAACAATCTGAGGAATCATTAACTTTCCTTTTGTAGTTAGTCACTTGTTAATTATTTTGGGGATTGAATTGGATTAAAAATCAACCAGTAGGAACTGGAAGGACATCCCTGGTGAAATGAAGATGGTCCCATGAGAATAGTTCAGATGTCAGTTTTAGAACTCACCCCTAAGAACTGGGTAGTCCACAGAGTAGAGGAGTGCCTGTTTAAGGAAAATAACAAATTCGCTGTAGCATTTAAATTCAGGTTGAGTTTATATAATTTCTAAGAAAATTACACTCTCTGCCCTAAGAGTGAAAATCTTAACCTCTTTTAAGTGTAATATTTAGGTTTTAGTTTTTGTAATCCATATTACTCTAAAGCATGTTGGTTTTTTTTTAGTATATCACTTTGTACGATATTTGCAATCTTATGAGAATACAATTAAGAAAATTCTAATCTCCAAATTCTATTTCTTTTAAAGGTACAATAAACTTTTTACATGCGGACTGTGACAAATTTAGACATCCTCTTCTGCACATACAGAAAACTCCAGCAGATTGCCCTGTAATAGCTATTGACAGCTTTAGGCATATGTATGTATTTGGAGACTTCAGGGATGTGTTGTAAGTATTCATTTTGGTTATTTTAAATTATTAATATGTCTCAAAATGAACTGAATACAATTGTTTGAATATTCTAAATCTTATGGTAAAACAGTAATATTTTGTTATTTGGATAGAAAAGGTTGGTTTTTTTTACCCCACTCCAAAACGTGTTATAGTTGACTATGAGAATTATTAGATCTCCTTATAGAAATGCCAGTATTAGGTGATCCTAATGCTTGGAAATTAATCTCTGAAAGAAAATTCTTGACCTTTGAGAAATTAGTTCTGAATTGAGTTTGGTCTTTGTCAGCACATCAAGATAAGTAGAATGTAATCCTAGGCCAGGATAGAGAAAATTGGTAATATTGCTGCTCATTTGTGACTGTGTCTAGCAAGAATATTAGTAGTATTTAAGACCCAGAAGATGGCTATGACTAGGCATTTCTAAGGGCATACAGCTATGAACTTTTGTAAGAACAGAAAAGCCTTCTGACTATGCTCAGCTATTCATAGTATTAATAAACATATAATACTATGTTTATAATACTACCACAGATACTAAATTTTTATCAGTTTCTGAGATGTCAAATACAATGGTAAAAAATAGAGATGTTCATATATAAAAATTTTAAGCAATACTAGTATTAATTCAAATTGGACCTTCTCTTTTTGAAATTTATTTAAATACCTTTTTTATGTTCAAAGATTAAATTGCAGTTGGATGATTTGAAGTCCTATTGCAGAATGAATTATCTCACTCACAGTTCAGTAGAGATGTGGTTGTTTGATAGGAGATTCTCAGTCCTAACATATATATAGGGGGCCTAGAATTGAGTCCTGCCCTAGGCAAGTCACTTAACTTCTCTGTTCTTGTTTCTTTACATTTAAAATATGGTTGATGGTACATATGTGATTGTTATAAAAATTAATGAGAGATGATGGTTGTGTTCTAACACATAAAGTACTAACAAACAGTTGTATTTACTTTACCTATACTCAGAAGAATGCTATTTAGCCTATTAACTTAGTAAATATTCATCCAGGTGTTCTGTATGACAGTCACTATGTAATAATAAGCCAGTGTTTTAAAGTTTACTAAGATTAGATCCCTGCCCTCAAAGAACTCACAACCAAATAGAGAAAGGAAACAAACAGGGTAACAGGCAATTGTTTTATGATGTGATAAGTACTCTGACAGAGTTCAGAAAAGAGGTACCTGATCCAAGGTTTCTGGAGATGTTGATACCTAAGGTAGGTCCTAAAGTTCTACAGAAGTTTATCATGCACAGGTGAGGAGGAGAGCTTGGAGAAAGGGCACATTGGAAAAAACAAGTATAAGGGGCTGCTGGCCGAATATGAGT